ACCTCGAATCTTCTCAGAGACTCCTGGACTGGAGCCCAGCAGTCTGTGGTGTAACAAGTCCCCCAGGTGATTCTGATTCCGCAGCTCACGTGTGAGAACGGTGGAGCCGAGGATGCAAACCTGTCTCTTATTAAGTTATTATTAAGTGCTTACCAAAGACATCTGGATGCACTGTGATTTGTGAGCACCTCCGCCATCTGTATGGGGCTTGCGATAGGAGCTAATACTGCTCACTCGACGTTTCTGGCCCTCTGCCTTCAGGGCTAGCTAGAGCCCTTTTCTCTCTACCTTAGCAGCCATCAACATTCCAGAGTCGCTGCTCCATCATCAGCCGAGGTCCCGGGGTGAGGCTGACAAGGAGCAGGCCCTAGCTAACCCTCGGTGAACACATAATATGAACAAGAGATTAAACTTCACTGTTTCAAACCACTGCGATTTGGACGTTGTCTGTTATCTCAATGTAACTCAGCGTGCCCATAACCCGGCCCTGCATCATCTGGTTTGATACGGGACTAATATTTTCAAAGGACAGAGCTTCCCAAAATGCCTCACACTCTACCACATAAGCGACAGTCTGCTTCTTCAAGACATAAAACCAGCTCCATCTGCAGAGGCAAAAATGCCTCTGTCCTGAAAGGAGAAAGAAAGGCAATTTGGAGGGAGGGAGGAAGGCAGGCGGCAGGCACTTCTGCCCAGTGATCTCTAGAAAATGCCTCATACCTGATGACCAAAGTGAGCCAGGACTCAGCCGTAGCTGCAGATAATGGAAGCAGCAAGAGGAAGGAGTTGGGCTGGGGTGGGTGGGACGCTCCGGTACGGATGGTTTCAGGCGGGCTCCTGGATGAGAATGGCAGTTCAAAGGCAGAGGAAATTGTACAGGGAACAAAAACAGTGCCGCCCTGCATCCATACTGAGCTCTGTGCTTTCCAGGCCACTCTGCGTCCCTGTTCCATCTCTTCCTCCTTCCACACACAGGGATGGTCCGTCCTACGTCACAGCTGGTCCAGAGAGGCAAAGGACTGGCCCAAGACTGCACAGCAAGTTGGGGGCTGAGTCAGGCAAGGCTTTGACACCCAGGCCTGCTCCTTGTCAGCCTGCAAAAAACAAGGCTCCCAGAAGGTGACTCTGGAGGGAGGGTGGCATGCTCCTGCCCCGGGCACAGGTTATGTTCTTGTGCAGGGTCCAAAGACCTCGGTATCCGATGGGTTCTCAGCAGGTTCTGGTGAAGCTGGATGGGGAGGGAGAAGCGGGAGGGGCAGGGCTGCAGGGCACCAGCTCCTGAATGCTCCCAGGCTCACGAGCCTCCCGTTTGTCCCCCAGTGCCCTGGTGCCATTCTTCACCCTCTCACTACGATTTCTCCCTCTCACAAGCTCCCCCACCCTGGGGTCTCCATTCTCTCGTGGGCAACTGACAAAGTCCAAAGCCCAAGTGGGGCCGGTTGGTGCCCTTCCTCTTCCTCCCATCACAACATAAGCAGGAACAAGAGGATGCTGGTAACAGCTGACGCCCGCCCCTCCAGATTTCCTATGGTAAAGTCTCAAGCCGCAGCACCTGAGGCACGCCCCTATTTGGAGATAGGGTCTTAAAAGGTAATCAATTTCAAATGAGGTCATTCGTGTGTGTGCTTATCCACTATGACATGTGTGCTCATAACAAGGAAATGTGAAGACACAGGAAGGACACCTGATGTGAAGATCAGAGTCCTGCTGCCGCAGTTGAGAAACCACCAGAAGCAAGGAGGGACAGACCCTTCCCTCAGCCCCAGAAGGAAGCATTCCTGCAGACACCTGGATCTTCTGAGCCCCAGAACTGTGGGACAATGAGCCCCTGCTGGCCAAGCCGCCCAGCCGCCCAGCCGGTGGCACTGTGCAACAGCCGCCCTAGGCAATCAATGCACCTAACCCAGCCAGCCGCGCCTCCCACCGCAGCCCAGATCTGCCCTCTGGGGTCTGGCCAGCCTCCTCATGGCCCACCTCCATGCCTTTGCTGTTGGGGTTCCCTCTCCCACCCACCCCTGATGGCGTCATTGCGTCCCTCAAGATGGAGCTCAAAGTCCCACGAAGCAGGTGGCAGCATTCTCTCCCACCTCACTCGTCTGTCCCTGGCCTTTTCACATCCAGTCTCCTGGCTGTCATGAAATGATTTTGCTGAGTGTTGGTCCCGCCTTCCCCTCACGAAGCTGGATTCCACAAGGGCAGGGGCTATTAATATTTCTAACTCTTCTATCTCAGTGCACAGTGATGTGGGTGGGCTATAGTAGGTGCTTAATAAATACTGGCTTGCAACACCTTTCTAGTATACCCTGTAGTATACCCAAAGTCCCCTCTGTTGATCAGGCTGCAAACTCCTTGAAGGCAGTGACCATCGGTCATCTATCTAGGTCCCCCGCATCTTGTGTTCTAGGAAGTCACACATACACGCTGCATGAGTGACGGGAACATACGGCAGACATGATTTACCATGCATCCAAGGGGCCTGTAAGGTTTCACGGGAGGCATGAACCCAGTGACCTTGTGCGCAAAGCACTTTGTGTGTTGGTATGTTTACATAGGTACCATGCGGTTTCCCAGGGACAGGGTCCATGGACCTCTTTGAGCAGCTAAAATAAAGTCAGGACTGAAACAACATGGAGCAGCAATGCCATGGAGGAGGAGACTGACGCTTATTCAACCCCCAGCTGTGTGCCTGGTGGGCACAGGTGTTACGACTCCCATTTTACATGAATGAAAACTGAGGTTCAGAGAGGTCAAGGCTTGCCTGGGTTCATGAAGAGACACGCGGCCTGCCCAAGCCACCCAAGTGCAGAGACTCTGGAGCCAGACAGCCTAGATTCAAATCCAAGTTCTGCCACTTTCCAGATGTGTGATCTTGGGCAAGTAACAT